AGAAGTTTACAGTAGCTCTGCAAGTTTTAATCATTGGTATTGTAACCATCCGGAGGGAAATTTGGACTGGTTACATAAGGAGCTCAATTAGCATGTTAAATTCTTTATGAACAGTATCACCAAATTTAGCTAGGCAACTGTCTCATGGTCAGTGCCCATGACTCCACCCCCAATCCTTGCACAAAGATATCCAAAAGGAAAACAGAAACTTCCCTTTAAAATAAAGCATTTTTTATCCTACAACACACAGCAGAGTGAAATTGAGCTGGAAGGAACATAAAAACCACGTATCAGTCAAAATGTAAAGCCTTAGCAGCATTCCATTCTCTCAGCTGCAGAGCACCCAATTTAAGTTCTTAAATTAAAATCATAATGAAACTTTAGGCTCCTGATGATTCAAGAGTTTCTTGCAAAACAAACAAAGTTAAAACTAAGATGAACATTTCTGAATTTGGCTTAAAAATAGCCCGGATCCCAGCAAAGGTTTATCTGAAAAAACTCAATGATCAGGAAAGCAGACTAATTGTGAGCACAGTGCCTGTGGTGCCCACCATAGTGCTGTTAAATAAACACTTGCATATGATGTTGTCGGTGAAAAGTCAAACTGTGTCAAGTAGTTCACAAAGACCACCCAGCTATCTAACTCCTGATTCGTGTTCTTCTGCCATTCCCTAGTATCTCCTAGAGGTGGTCCGGAAAGGTCAAAGGAAGCCACAGACCCAAAGCCACTTCCCTTTCCACCCTCAGCACAGATCTAATTTCTTTCCCTGCCATAGCACCTTACTCAATGACACTGGCTGCGCAGTGTGGCGGCCATGCCCAGGATCTTCCCTCCAGCCAGGAGAATTCCACGTGGGACTACCTCATGCCCCTCTTTGGCTTCCAAAGCACAATAGGGACTGCTCTACTGATACAGATCCTTCAGTGAGTCCCTGGCATTGGAGCAGAGAGAAGCAGGAAAATTCTCACAAAGGGCCAGCTCTCTCTCTCTTAGAGAAGGCACATTGTTTACCTTTCAAGACTCACCTCTTCTTGCCTTGGTACCCTGACTCATTTAGAGTGGCTTGCTTCTGTCTGTAACATCTTCATGAGTCTTGGCTCTGCATCATCCTTTGTCGAATTTCTTTAGTCACACATCTCTGATGGGAACAGAGGATAGAAATTGGCCAGTTTAGGGAAGAGAGCCTCAAAGTGAACAATTTTTCCTTGGCTAAGAGATGGAAATGCCCTTGGCCCTGTCAGCAATGTCATCGTTGTAGGAGGCCAGAGATAACCAAAAGTGTTGAAGATAAAATGTCTCTGGTTCTGCCCTGGCCAGAAGCCAGTGGTGCCAGAAGGAAGGTTTGTTTTCTCCTACCTCTTTCCCTAAATGATCACCCCTTCCTGGAAACCATACATGAAGATGTGACTGAAACTGAGAAGTGCCTGAACATCTTGTGAATGGAAACTGAACAGCTCACCCTCCTCCATACCTCCATCCAGTAGAGGGTGGCAGTGACCAAAGCAGTGATCCTCAATAGCATCCACTCTGGGGGACCCCTCCTGCTATCCAGGAGCTCTGCCTTTTTTTTTTCTCTTAAGCATCCACCTATGAATAATCTATAATAAAACTTTTTCTAACACTTACCCTCTGTGACTCATGAATTTCATTCTCCAAATTCTGTACATAAGAATTCAGAGGTTTTGGCTGGAGAGATGACTCAGTAATTAAAAATACATACTGCTCTTCCAGAGGAACTGAGTTGGATTCTCAACACCCACATTGAACGATTTATGGTTCATATCTACCTAGAACTCCAGTTCCAGGGCCTCCAATGCTTCTGGCCTCTTGCCCCTGTACCCAAGTACATATATCCATCCACAGATGCATAAAAATATACACATAATTAAAAATAAAATAAAGCTTTAAAAAAGAACCCAGAGACCACTGACTCAGTGAAGTTTTGTGTGACTTTGAACATCTAGCACCCTAACTCCTAAGTTAAAGCCCACCTGAGAAAAAGCCTCCTTCAAATTCAAAATCGCCCCCACTTTCACCATATCACTTCTACTAGTGTCTATCAGGAAGTCGTCTCCTTCCTGCCTCCCTTCCTACTAAGGTTGGCATCTCTGTGAAGTCTATGAGTGCACTCACACTTTGCATTGAGCAGCTTTCCTTTATCTTGGCCAGGGTCACCTCTGACAACCTGTTACTTTCTTGCCCCAGCTTTTCTGCTTTCTACACTCCTCACCCAAATTGGCTCCTCAAGAAGGGACATTCATTCACAGTAAAGTCTGGTAAGTAACAGGTTCTGCTATGCTTCACCATTGTGTTTGAGCTTAAAAACCAAGCCTATGAGGTGAAGAGGTGAAGCGTTTGGGACTATTTTGTAGGGCTGGGAGGCCTTTCTCAGCCTTGACCAGGCGTCTTCTGCCTTGCCTTCTCAATTAAGAACAACATACTTCAAATTCTTAGCATCTGTTCTGGGTTGGACAGTTCCTTCCAATCCCTCCGTCCAAAAAAAATATCCTATATTGGGACTGGAGAGATGGCTCAGCAGTTAAGAGCACTGACTGCTCTTGCAGAGGACTCAGGTTCAGTTCCCAACATTCACATGGAGGCTAACAACCATCTGTAACTCCAATTCCAGGGGATCCAATGCCCTCTTCTGGCCTTCACAGGGATTGCATGACACAAGTGCACTTACATACACGCAGGCAAAATGCTCATACACATAAAATTTTTTAAAATTTAATTCTGTCTACCTAGATTCTATGATTGTGGCCTTAGTAAGAAGTAGAGTCTTTGCAGATGTGCTCAAGGTTAGGCTACCTTAGAGTTTGGTAAATCAAATATAGCTGATATCCTAAAGAGGGAAATATGGACACACCCAGATATGGAACAGCCATGTGAAGAAGGAATTACACACTGGAATTCAGCAGCCACAGTCATAGAATGCCAAGTGATACAGGGGAGAAACAGTGTCCCCTCAAGGGTTTTAGTCTCATTCATAAAAGAATTTAAGAATGGGTTCAAACAGGGGCTTTAGGACAATTTTATTCGAATTTAAAGAGAAATACTCAAGGCAGGCAAGCCGGGGATCTCAGCAGCTGCCTTGAAGAGGAGAATGGAGGGTAGGAGGGAAAAAAATGTAAAGCTATGCTGGTTTAGAGCCTGCACAGAGGCTGCTAGCAGCTACATGGCAGGGAGAAAGGAGCTTCAGAGAAAAAGTAAAGAAATCAAGATGCCAGGCAGCCCGAAGCATTAAGGAAAGCCTGCTTAGAAAAGGGATATGAAGAAGGAAAGGACAGAGATTATGCTTTTCTGAAGAATTCAGAAAAGTGGGCAGGACTTCCGTGTCTGTGAGCCAGATCCACAAGAACTGCACTATGAGGTGGGAATTCCAGGCAGAAAAAGTTTACTATCTTATTAACACACTAGGTATTCCGTCCATCTGTTTAGCATGACTTAAGGTGAACCCACCTTCATAAGGGTGGTCCAGGTGGATTGACCAGTGAAACTGGAAAGGTAGGTCTTCCAACAGACAGACTAGAGATTTTATTTCAACCAATTAACCTTATGGGATTTTTTTGATACTCTAACACAAGGATTGCCAACAATTGCCTGAAGCTAAGAAAAAGCAAAGGATTCTTCTCTAAAGCTTGAACAAGAGCCCAGTCTTGCTGACACTTTGACTTTGGACTCCAGCCTCCAAATGTGCAAGAATAAATCCCTGTTGTTTAAAGACATTTCGACAGTGAAGTTAACAAATATACACACTTCACAGGGTTTTGTAAGCATTCAATTATTTATTATACATAAAGTGCTTAAAACATTGTTAGCAAACATATTCTCAAGAACTGTCAGCTGTTATTTTTAAATGAAAGAAATGTTTGTTACATAGTAAGGGCTCAGTATAAATGATTGTTACCATGGTTTTCCTGAGGCAACAGAGCCAGCGAAATCAGGTTTGAAGTCTGTGTCCATAACATACAACCTTATTAATGACAGTGTGCCCTTGGCCAAGTTACTTAACTTCTCAGAGCCTCTGTTTCATGGGTAGTTGCAAAGATTAAATAAGAAAAGGGCCTGGCAAATGGCACATACTCGGTCAACACAGATCCTGTTCCTCTTTTACTCTGCCACAGCACTCCACATTTTGTGTGGTTCTTGCTTTTTAAAATCACTATATTGAGATTCAGCACAAACATACTAAAAGTTTGAAGGCAGCACTTTAGAAAGTAACAAATGTTTACTTTCAGTAGATTTTGCTAAAAATGCTAAGAAAGGTTTAAGGGCCTTAAACAAATGCAAACATGCATCTAAGGTGTATGTTTTCTCTACATTAAAATGATACACTGGATAGTCCCCATATTTTCTTGACTTCATTCTCTAGTTTTCAGATATTTGAAAATTGGGCTGGAGATGTTATACATTGAGGGAATGTGATGGAATGTCAATCCAGCAGATTCTTTCACTTGCTCTATAAGCTCTTCTATGTGTAGGGCCACTGCATGTCTTCTGTGCAGGGCCAGTGCGTGTCTTCTGTGTGCAGGGCCACTGCGTGTCTCCTGTGTACAGGACCACTCATAGACAGTGTCTCCTACTGCCACCTTTTCTTCACCTCTTTCCTCCCTCTCAGATCTGCTGCCCAGGCTCTGGTGTCAGTGAGAGCTACAGAAGATGTTTTAGGAGAACAGAGTAGCACTCTGTCCTTCCGGTTACTTTCCATGTCTCTTACAGACCTCTCTTGAACATTGAACAGCTTCTGCTTTGCTGAAGCTTATAACAATAGCACATACACAAGTTACAGAAAGAGGAGAGTTCATATTCATATTTTTCTAATCTAGTCTCATTGAAAAATATCAAAGCTCTGAAAAACTACTATATCTATTGGTGTTCACTACATAACAAGCCATCCCCAAGCTTAGTTCCCACTCATTTGGGCGGACCTTTTGCTGGACTCACTGGGGTTTCTCCATACAACTGCAGCCAGATGGCAGGTCAGCTGGGACTGTTTAGTCTAGATTCAGTCTCATTCCCATGTTTATCTGCATGTGTTGGCTACTGGCTGGAGTAATGGAGTAACTAACCTAGGCCTAGTTACAGAGTAAGAGTTACAGTGTTTCCAAGAACTTCAAGAAAAAACACATCCTAATATTTAAGCGTCTGATTTCAGCATATTTATTATTTGTACATTGGCCAAAAGAAGTCATATAAGTAAGTCATGCATGAGTGATCATCAAGGGTATGGGAAAAAAGAGGAAAATAATTTGTGTCCATTTTTATAATCCACCACAGTTCTATTGTCTAAAAGAAACAGAACATTTATTCTAAATGGGCCTTTTAAGGAAACTTCAATTCTTTATTTCAGACAAAAGAAAATCAGAACTCTCAAAAAATTAAATATTAAAGAGTCTCCATCTCAGCAGAGAAACTTCAAAAGAACCTCAGGAAACATGACAAGTCTACTTGACAGTGAATATAGCAGTCGCTCCCATTTCAACTCTTCAGAAAGGATTTTGGATAACAAGACTAATCTCTGGACACATTTTAATGTGACTCATTCAAATGTCTCTATTTCTGCAAAACTGCATTCAACAAATGCATACCACACAATGGAGTCAGCACTGAGGGTGCAGACAAAGTAATCTGCTCTCGTGGAGCTCAGAATCTGTTAGGGAAGACAAGCTGTAATGATTCCATGTTTCCAATTCTGAAAACACTCAAAAGAGCTGGTCAGGTTCCATCCCAGTCAGAGGAACAATGAGAGTTGTTTCTCCAGGTGAAGAGAGAGGAGAAGAAAAGGACGACAAGGCAGACACCTAGAAACGGGTTAGAGGAAAGGCGCTTCATCTTGCTAATCAATCATGTGTTAGAGGATATGAAACTGAAGAAAAAAGTAAGCAAACAGCTGTATACAGGTAAGCACAAGGTTGTCATCAAGCACATGGTGTTCAATGTCAAGCAGCATCTATGGATGGTTCTTCTTATTTATTGAACAATCGGAAAGCATTAAGTCCTGAGGGTGTGATCTCCTCCACTCCCTCTCCAGCCCAGCTCTCTTCCCTTCACTCAGCAACTTTTTCCCTCAATTAAGAGATCTGACTAAACCTGGCTCTCATTTGCACATGACAACAATAAGTAATAGTTACTCTCTTTAGTGAGGCATCGCTCCATCTTGCCACATCCCAAACATTCTCTTCCATTCCTGTCCAGTACCATAAGGATCTGGTTTGCAGTACCTAGATCTTTCTTTCCATAGGTTTTTAAATATATATATTTTATTTATTACTTTTATTTTATGTGCATGAGTGTACTTCCTCCATGTTTATAAGTGCACCTGTGTTGTGCAGTGCCCACAGAGGTCAGAAGACCATGTTGGATTCCCCTAGAACTGGAGTTATGGACAGTTATTAGCTGCCATGTGGATGCTGAATCAAACCCAGGTCCTCTGCAAAAGCTTTAACCACTGAGCCATCTCTCCATCCCCAGGTTTTTGTTTTTAATATAACTAATAACAGTTGCACCCAGTAAATATTTTAAAATGCTGAATAGAAAATTATTCAAT